CCTACAAAGCCGGGACGGAGCACGCCGGGTTCTCACCGGACCAGGCTCTCACATCGCCAAGCGCGAAGCGCCGTGAGGTATTCGGCGAGTCACATGAAGCGAGCGTGCGCTGCATCCTGCTAAGGGTGTCGGCATCTTGTGCTTACTTCCTTGCATACGGATGACAGTTTCGTATGACTTGGTTTATTTTCTGGTGCGTCACTTCCAGAGATAGTTGTAAGCACTGTGTAACTGCCTCGATGGTGCTTGACCATTTTAACACAACGTGGTGCGACCATCCCCCTTGCGCGGAGTGAGGGTTCTCCACCCCGCACAACATGATCTACTCGACTACCATTATGGTTACCGCCAAAAGAAAACAGAGGGAAAAAAACAAAAACGGTAACAACAACATATTCGCCTGATTGAGAGCGTAGCATCTGATTGAGAGCGAGATTGCGCGATACGCTGTAGCCGGACTACCACTGAGAGGTGGAGCTTGCTGTGTAGCTTGAATTGAAGGGCTAGCCCGTAGCTTCAAGCCGCTACCCTGGTCATCCTGTGGGAGTCTCTCGTTGTGGAGCTACAGCGGGGAGCAGAAGCTACAGCAGAGCCCACCGCCCGACGCGATACCGCCCTGAAACAGTTTGAGCAGAAATAGCCAATCTGGGCAAATCTAGCAACTTGTCTAGCTCCTCGCTGCAGCATCCGATGACGATGACACGCATATGCTCGCGAAGCTGCTGATGAGACCTTCAATTTGCACCGCTTCTTGGAATAGCCCGTCCCCTATTTGCCAAGAAATGGCAAGAGGCGTCTAGACCCGAAATTTCAATTTTTTTGGCTCTCGCTCTCAATCAGATACTTCGCTCTCAATCAGGCGAATATGTTGTGTAACCTGGTTGCCGAGTTCACGAAGTGAATTGGCTTGTTTTACAACGTCCTTGCCAAGCGACGAAAACCCAACCCCGACGGCAAACACCAGGCGGCGGGCGGCCATGGGGGGGGGCTTTTCGCACGGTGGTACCATTGAGCGTGATCCTTGTTGCCCGGGTCATGTAATCTCGAATTGACAAATGAGAGATATTTTATGTGCCAAAAATTTTGCTGTACCATGTTTCCGCCGGGAAGGTCTGTGATGTTGCAAGATACTACACAGACAGGCTGACGTAGAAATACATGACAAGAGTCTCCTCTCGTGGATCTGTCACATTCCACGAAACGTGGGTGGAAACAGGCTAAACCAAAATATAACGACGGAGTACACTCCAACGTTCGTGGTATTATTCAAAACACACCTAAAAACACGTATGCTCGCCCGCGGGCACGCCAAAAGCGGACTAGTCCCGGGCTAACTCAAACTTAGCGGGGTGGATGCAGGTCATGTTGTTTCTCTCGCACCCCGGGAATAACGCAATACTGTTTTTTACACATTGTTGGGCTCAACTCCAGAGGGGTGGACTACGGGGAGGGGTAAAGGATTTACCTGTACTTTTGGCATACAAGATAGGCTACACATGCATGTGTCACATGACAATGGGGTTGCTCGCCGGAGAAGTGGTTGTCCAAACTTTGCTGTGGAGTTTCAGTCACACTGGCCATTCTGTAACACTCGAGAACGTGTAGTGGTACTCCACCCACATGAGTAAGTACTCCTTGCCTTGGGTGTATTTTTTTTGTTGCTGACACCGATGTTGCAACCCTCCCTCCCCCCCCTAATTCAACAGGCTGGTTGGGCGCGTGTTCGGAGGGCTTCCGAATGGCCGCCTATGACGGCGGTCAATCAAGGCAGGGGGATCGGCAGGGAACTCTGTTCTACAGGTTGACCCCGTGACGGAGCCATCCACTCCGTCTTCCTCTTCGGCGGACCTCGGTTCTTTCAGCACTTTCCCCCAGAGTGAAGGTGAGCCCGTTTCCGTAGCAACAGCGCCGCCGGTCCTCGAAAAACATGATCGCACCGCCAACGAACCGGGGGTTACAGCATAAATTGAATTTTGTCGCCAGAACCTTCCGCCTCCCCACACCCCCAAACCATTGATGATGCGTTTGGTTGTTTGCTGCGTCCCAGTGGTGTCGAGGGGGGGATGGCATACATGCGCAGATACCATTCTGTTGGTTGGTCGTTATCCTTCGTGTTGGGTCCTGTCGTCATGTTTAGCTGCAAGCGACGCGAGAAACACCTTTCGTTTTCTTCCGGTACGCTTGTTTGTAGTTTGCCAAGCGATCCATATGTTTTGCAGAGGCTACAGGAGTTGCTGCTCTGAAAGGGGCGCCGTTGGGTCTACGCTGCACGTACTAGAGTTGTGTGCGTTCGACAATATCCCGAAAAATATTTAGACCATATCGCGAGTGTTTGAATGCTAGGCAGACCCCCTCCCCCCCGATGGACGTCGTGTTTTTGGTTGGCGAGGCCTCTGTTTCTAACCGGATTTCCTGGACACAATATTTTTCGTTTCATGCTGCCTGCCGCAACAATCAGATGCCGCCGTGAACAGCAGACAGAGCGGATGGCGAGCGGAGCGGTGGGGTCGGCGGCTTGTTCCACGACGAATCACCGGCTACGGGACTGGAGGGCCTGGGGGACCCTGACGTTCAAGAGCGCCTCATGACGGAGACTATGCTTCATGCTCTCCTGAACCCGCCCGAGATGGCCCGAGATGGAGATGGAGACAGCAAACGGGGAGACCTCAGGCAGCGGCACAATCGGCGGTGAGGTCTACGCCGGTACCCCGGGAGAAGCTCCTTCCTCCCTGACCGTCGGGTACGGGTGCACCTACGTGGCGAGCGAATCGGTGACTATGGAGAGCTCCGAATCGCACCTCAACATCCGATCGCCGGCGGCGGCGGGAGCGGCGGCGGGAGCGGCGGGAGCGGTGGGCGGGGACGGCCTTGGCGGCGCGGCGGCATCGCCGGTGGCTGGTGGAGGCGGAGGCAATCGACAACCTACCAGAGCAGGTCAGCTGACGATGGTAAGGAGTAGCCACGGCAGTGTTTGGTTTCGCTCAACAATGCCTTTGTAGTGGTCCGTTCGTCGTGTTTGAGTACAATATGTAGCGTCGTGCATGTTGTTTGTTTTGCTGAATAAAATTGTTGGGTAGACGGTGCGAAGGCCTGACCTGTCGGGATAAGTTGAAAGACGCCGTATTGGATATTAACAACAACTTTCTTGCCCCCTCCCAACGTTCCAACCTCCCCCGCCCACGTGCACCCCGTCCGTGCAGTTCGACACTGCGATGAAGCCACTGCCGCCCCCGCCGCCGCCATCCAAGGAAGGTGGGCATGTCGACAACATCGTCTCCGAGTCGTTCCACTCGCTGTTTGACCACGAGGATTCGATCTTCCGCTCGTGGCCGGCGCCGCCCTCCGCATGGTCCTCGCCACCACGCCCGCCACCGTCGTCACCATGCCCGCCGTACTCGCCGGTGTTCTCGCTGTCCCCGCCGTCGCCAGTATCCCCGCCGCCGTCGCCGCCCTCCTGGCCGCTGCCGCGTTCAGCGTCTTCGTTGGAAACCCACCCGTGGCAGCCGGGGCAGCAGCAGCAGCAGCAGCAGCGGCGGCCGGGGCACGGCACCGCCGGACTGTCGGCCTCCTCTCCCGAGCAGCAGGTCAACCTCACGGATTCCGCGGCGTGGCTTTTCGTCGACGACTCCGTGCTGGGAGAGGGAGCGGGGGTAGTAGGTGGTGGTGCTGTCGCTGCGGCAGTCTTGGGCGCGCCCGTCCCGGTCCCCGCTTCCGTCGACAACACGGCCGGAGCCCGCGACGGCGGCGGCGGCGGCGGCGGCGGCGGCGGCGGCGGCGGCGGCGGCGCTGACGATGCCCTGGCTTTGAGGACGACGAACGGCTTCATGGCGTGGTTCCGGTCTCCCCATTTGCCGAGCCCGGGGACATGGCGGATGTGTCGGGCGATGAGGGCGGTGTCGGCGACCTTGTCGTCGTTGGTGTGTCCGAGCTTCGAGAGGATGTATGACGACGACGACGACGACGACGACGATGGCCAGAGCGATGGAGACAGGGAGTAGGGCCGCGGTAAAGAAGGAATATGATTATTGCTGATAACGTTCTCCTGGGATTTGATCGATTCCGCTTTTTCCCGCTTCAAACTACATAGAAAGCTTGTTTTGCTCAGGCTTTGCGCGGTAGCGGTAGATGGCTCATTGGGAGGCGGTCGTTAAACAGCGGTCGCATCTTGTCCCGAGGTACGAAATTGTTTTTTTCAATTCTCTTGCCAACCTCTGGTGCGTTTGCTGTATTCCACCTTATTTATCCTAAGCGCACGAGGATGCAGCATTGTTGCTGATTGCTTGTTGCTTTGAAGTGTTTTACCAGACCAACCAGTAGAATTGAGTTTTGGAAGGCGGGGTATGGAGTTTTCCTTTCCTACCTTGCGATGTAGACTATGTATGCTTGTCTTCGGGCTTTTCGCTGGTGATTTG